TAGCCTCATTTTCTGGAATGCTTATTTTCATTTTGTATTACACTTCTTTATAAACAGCACTATACATATTTCAATAAGTTTCATAAAGACACAATTGCTAAATAAATAATTGCATATATGAAAATGAAACTTGGCATTGCCCTTAACGATAATTGACTCAGTTTGAAAGATAGTTCCTCAATCTCTTTTTCCTACTTTACGGAAGTGAAATCTTGCATGCTTTCCATGATTGTGCCACATGACATACTTGTTATAACTCTGTGGTCATTAGATTATTGTGAATAAGTATAATAACATTTGAATAAAATTTGAACATGCATAAAATACTTGTAAAGCCTAGGGGCTGTACAAATATTTGATTCAAACAATGCAATAAAATTTTCTCTTTGAATGTTTTCAAATTGATTTGGTGATTTGTAAATTTTTGCATATAATCTTTGTGAATAAACAATTCATCACAATATTGATTTGAATTAATCAATTTAAAAAATTGGGTCCTGGCTGACTTGCATACCTTAATGTAGCTGAAATAGCAAAATCATTAACTCAAATAAAATCTGAGACTGGGACCACCATATAGGGAAATTTCTCTTCAAAAGGGCCAAATATTTAATGGCTAAAAGAAAATTAGAAGACCTGTACATCTAGGCATTGAGTGGAAACAACTGAAGCCTGGGGAAAAAAAATCAAATGCTAGGGGCCAATCAAACAGGCTTTTATAAGAGGGATGCGTAATATTCATATTGTTGCAGGAAATTACGAGACTCAGACCTTGGAATCCAAAAATAAGTTGATTTTATTTGCACAAACAGGTTCAGAGTATTTTAGTGAGTCACTTCTGAACAAATTTCTTATAGAACAGCACATGCCTATATACTTCTTCAGAAGGGGCAAAACACAGAAATATAACTTGTCAGTCATTCATTGGTTACTTGAAACACAACTTTCCCCCTCCTCTGTTGCTAGGTTAGGATGGCTGGATGTCACAAACCCATCTTGCTAAACTCCCTAGCTTGTGGTTTTGTTACAAGAAAGACTAGGTTTGTTGGCAAATATGACTTTGTGACCAATAGATGATCCTTGTGTTTTGGCTTTTCACACTTCCTTGTTCTTTCTCTTGCTAATACCACCTATTTCACTATCTATAAAACTTGTATCATTATTTCTCTAAAATTAATATATTTTTATGTGCTGCCTTAATATAGTTCTTTTTTTGTGTGTAAATTTTATTTGAGTTTTCCCAAAAAGAAAAGAAATATAATTAAAACATCTTTTTTGAAAGCAGCATAATCCCGGGTTACATTTCTTCGTACAGACGCAAATTCAGGTTCATGCTCATTCTTATATTCTATTCCATATCTTATTACAATTTTACATTTTCTACCTAGCTTCTCCCCTCTTTTAATTTCCTCAATTTTATTTTATTAATTTCATCTCAATTCAAATCATTATATTTATATATTTTTTTCTGTCCTGTTTCAATTGTCTATTATCTTTTCTCATTAAACAAAATTTCTCCTGTAGTTACTGATTGGAGTATGACACCTTTTTATCTTTCCCCTAAAGTTATAACACTCAATATAATACATAACTTCCATTCTGATTCTGCTTGGTACATTCTTAAACTACACACAGTATTCTTGAAAAAAGAAAAAAATTATAGATGTATATAATTAAAGCAACATTCCATTCCAATTCAATTCTATCATTAATATTAATATTCATTAAAGTCTTAACATTTTTTACATTACTTTTCAATTAAATATCATACTTCTATGGGAACAATTATAAACTTTCCATGGTGTACAATTCTAAAATTATAATTAAACAATTAAATTAAACAGTAAAAACATGCACAAAGATAAATACAAATAGATAAATACAAATGATGATTAACTAAAAGTAAAACCAGCATTGAGACCATTAACACATTCTGAGCTCTAGGCTTAGGTACACAGCTAAATTTTAATCCTTGTAAAAGGACAACAAGGTGGGGGCCATTCTAATCTCTGTGGGGAGGATATTCCATAAGGCAGGGATTATATCAGGAGTGGGCTGCTGGGGGTTTGCAGGGGTTCGCGATAGCCCCTAGCTAAGATTCTGTGCAGTTTGGAGATCCCCCCAAATCCCACTCCTGAATGGCTCTGCCCACCCCACCCCTCCCAGGAGCCCCCACGTGGCCCATTTTGGATGCAGGTAAGTGCAGGGCATGCACGAGGGTTGGGAAGGGCAAAAAACGGGCCTCCTGGAAGTTTGGGAAGGCTAGAAATGGGGCCTGTTTCCAGAGAACCTCCGGAGCCCAGGGAGGGCAAAAATCCCCCCCGTGCTGTGGTGCAGGAGGCTGACTAGGCCATGCCCACCATTGGCCACACCCACCCAACAACTGGGCAGAGAACCTTTTTCTAAAATTTTTGAAGCCCACCATGGATTACATTAGGAAAAAAAAAACCATCTTCTAGTTCCCATCAGTTGATACTCTTGCTGACAGGATCTGCAGCATGTCCAATTTGTTGGATTGAGTTGGGTGGATAGAAACTCTTGGTTCCTCATCTTATCTTGGCTGACTTCAAAAAGCTTGGTAGAATCATACCTGGTTACTATTTGAATAGAAAGTCCTCGGAGAATACTGGTGAAGTAGTCTAGGGTGGAAATAGAGAAAGCATTCCAGGAGAAAAAAATGGCAAACTGGCTGTGTTAAGAGTTTCCATGAAGTTAAGCTCAGAAATGGCTGAATTGTCATGATAAATTTCCATGATTAGTGTAAAAAGTATTGTACTTTATCAACTTACTGGTTTTATATTGTCTGTGTTTGCTAACTTTTTAATTTGCTATTTTGTATTTTATTGCTCGAAATCAATTTACTGTAGTCTAATGGTTAAAGTGCGAGACTAGGAGCTTGGAGATCTGAATCATAGTCCTACTTTAGAATAGAGGCCAGCTGGGAGATTTGGGGCCAGATGTTCAGTCCTAAGAAGGTGATGCAAATCACTTCCAAAAACATTGCCTAGAATGTGGATGGACTTCTTCATGTGGTCATAAGGAGTTAAGACTAAAAGAATTAAAATAAATGCTAGTAATGTTAAGCACTGTTTGGTGCTATAAAAATCAGAGGTGCTATTCGACCGGTTCGCACCTATTCGGGCGAACCGGTAGCGGTTATTTGGCATGGGTCGCCAAACCGGTGGCAATCCCTGGCTGGCCACGCCTCCAACCAGGTCCCCCAGTCACTCACTTGCGATCGCTCTCCTAGCTTTCTGTTCCCCACGTTCTCTTTCTCCCTGGGGGGGGGGAAAGGAAGAAAGGCATGGACGCTGCAAGTATCACTTTCCCTGTGTGAGTTAAAGTGTTGGGAGTGAGAAAGAGTGCGGTCTGACAGAGGGGGTGGGGGTGAATTGAGCCTTGGAGCACTTTTGCAACGTAAAAGAAATGCATTTTGGAAGCAGGTTTTAAAAAAACTTCTCCAAGGATTCCTCATGAACGCTGCAAGTATCGCTTTCCCCTTATGAGTTAAAGTGCTGGAGTGAGAAGGGGTGCAGTCTGACAGAGGGTGTGGGTGTGAATGGAGCCTTGGAGCACTTTTGCAACATAAAAGAATCAACTCAAGCTTTGGAGAAATTTAAAGGAGCTGCTTCCAAAATGCTTGTCTGTTAAGTGCTGTGTGTGTGTGTGTGTGTGTGTGTGTGTGTGTGTATGAGAGAGAAAGAAAGAAAGAAAGAAAGAAAGAAAGAAAGAAAGAAAGAAAGAAAGAAAGAAAGAAAGA